GTTATGGAACATTTTTTGAGATAAAATAATATTATTCTTTTTGTACAATGGAACATTTTTTGTCCTTTAATGCAAATGATGTATCACTTATTGTTAGGGGTGTAAACGAGTCAATTCGAGCTCGAGCCAAGCTCAACTTGAGTTTGAACTTGCTTAATTAATCGAGTTTGAGCATAATTCTACGAGTTTGAGTTAGCTCATGCACCAGTCTATTTATCATAATAGAGAGAAAATAATATTATTTTAAGAGCAATTGGAAGATAAATAATAAGAAATCACTTGATATAAAATATTATTTTATTAATATTTTTAATAATTTAAACATAAAGTTTTGAAAATTAATATATTTTAAGTATACTTTATATTAATATTCTTTTAAACGAGCCGGCTCACAAGTTAACGAGTCGAATTGAGATTGACTTGAGCTTGGCTTGTTAGCTCATTGAGCTCAAAAAAAAAAAAAAATTTTCTTGTTTCGCCATAAACCATTATTTCGAATAGAGATGTTCATTTATACTTCTAAAGACTGCTCATGGGGATAAAATTTAGTTTTTTTATCAACATTTCATCTCTAAACTAATACTCAAATGGAATTATCTAATAGAATATTAACGAATCCTTTAAGATTGAGGAAAACACTGGAGAATTTGAATTTACATCTTCTAACATTTGATTTTGCATTTAATACTACCACCCTAAAATAACTCGTGAGGCTTCATTTAAGATTGTCTATGGATTCAATCCTAAATGATGCACATGTCATTAAAGCAATCTTGCTCAAGAATATAGAGAGATAACTTAGTTCTTGACATAATGGACAACTATCTAGGATTCAAATCTTCCAAGAAGAATTTCTTTGGGTTCATGGGAGTTGATGCAACATTACTAGTATCTATATCACATAAATTTATCACTAAAGTTGTGATAACAAGAAATAATATGATATAGCTTTGTTTAAGTAAAAAAAACATTATAATCCTAGCTTATCAAGTATTCAAGGATGTTGCGAACCACATTAAGGAGAGATGTAATGATTGAATGTTATCATTAGTTCTAACTTGATTTGATGGAAAATTCAAAAGGTCGACATTTGAGCATACAAAAAAAGGTCTATATCGTACTTCATCATGAACACATGCATCTTGAACATACAAAAAAAGTCGGCGTGGATTCGAACCGATTTGCTCAACTTGAATTTGTGGCTGCTCGTTGATAATGTGCCTTCTTTTAAGTAATAGAAAAAATATTATAAACAAGTTTCAATTAAATTATAAAAATATTTAAAAAATAATTTTTTTTTAATTTTTGAGGTTGGATTTTTTTGATATGATGTTAAAGATTTAAATGGTATGGACCTAAATATGAATGTTTAGGTACTTATTAGATATGTAAATACATGTGAATTTTGTATTATAATATTCAAATACATGAACACAGTCCCATGCATAAAATAAGTAAGGTTAAATATATTTAAATTTGATCCCCATGATCATTTAATTTTAAATGTAAGATTTAAAATTGAATAAAATAATAAACATGTTTAAATTAAACTTTTCAAAGCATAATGTAAAGAGTATTCCATGAGAGTTTATAATTAAAATCACACTAATAATTTAGTAATATTAAACCAATAATATTCATAAGCTAATAGGATAACTTTTTTTAAACTTAGAATAATCAATATATATTATAAAATAGATAATAAGTTTCAATAACTCAAATATTTTAGAGAAACATTAGGCAAAATTTCTATCAATTTTTTTTTTAATATAAAGTTGATATCAAATAATTTAAAATTATATTGCTTAAATTATATAAAATATTTAACTAGTAAAACACATAAACTTTAGAAAATTTTCATATATTTTTACTAATATTTATTCATTTTTTTTTTAAATTTATAATTAATTAGAATTAATTTGTTCTCTAGAGTTAGTGTAAAATTTCTTGGATAAAGGTGAAGAGCCATTCCATTGCAATAGGCTTGGGTAATTAACCTAATTGACCTAAGGTTTGACCAAATCAATTAATTGGAACCTAAGTTTGATTAAGTGGACTTAGGTTGATATAGGTGGATCCTAGAAAGTGGTCCAAGGTGTAGGATCACCAATTGGGATAAACATATTGGGCTAGGAATCTAATCAATTGGCCTAAGAGTGATTGTGGTAGGAAGTTTAGTCAAAGATTTGAGGATGGCTTTGTTGACTTATGGTGACAGAGGTGGGTACTATAAGGTCAACTAGGGTCGAACTACAGGGCTTTAATGAGTCGTGATTGATTAAACATAACATGCTAGGCTTAGGGTTGACCAAGTGTAAACTAACATAAGAGTTTGTGTTGACTAAATGCGTTTTAAAATCTATAGTGAAGTGGTGAATCTTGCAATCCTCGATGTAATTTAGGTTAGACTGAATGAGAATATAGTCAAATCGAAGCTAGGTTAATTAGAGTTCATGAGTTAACCAGAGTGACCAATTGAGCCGTGGATTATGCTAGGATAATTTTAGGATTCTAACCCTATGTGGAACGCCTCTAGGGCAGCTCGATACTAAGTTCACCATGAGTGGTCATGATGATTGACATCCCTTAATGGCTATAGATTAACCCACGGTGTGGCTATACTAACCAAAATTTCTTTGATATAGGTTAGGCTAACACGACTGTGCAGGCTCCATGTGTGTGTTTAGTGTTACAAATGGACAAACCATGTACATGAATGTTATTGAGTTGAACTTAGTAGATGTACCATGATGACGTAGATAGACCAAGTATAGAGCGTCTTGCTCATGTCATTAAGACTAGGTCAAAGATAGGCTCGGGTCACAAACATATCGTAATGACTTAAGACAACACATCATATATATAT